GGTAAACCTTTTTCTACAAGGAAGAAGCCTTTTTCTGAAAGAGCTCTTTCGGAAAAAGGCGTGGGTGGACGGGGAAGAGGGAGTTCTTAGGAAAGAAGAGGAAAGAGGAAAAAGCACAGGTGCCCTGGTGGCCATTCTGCCCATAGTAATCAAAGCTTAAATGCGAGATAGCGTCCATTCAGTCTGGACACTATCTTTTGAAAAATCAGATCGCTTTTTCGATGCGCTTTGGCCATGCAGACGCTCTCTTTCGGAAGAAGTTTTTTTGGAAGATCTCTTCCGGAAAAGCTTCTTTCGAAAGAAGCCTGCAGTCTAGACATAGCCTTAAGAGAGGAACATCTTGCTGAATCACAAGCCCTTTCTAACAGTGAGCTCTCTTTTGATTGAAATAGTTTCCCAAAGGAAGTGATGGAAGTTTTTTCGTAGAATAATTAAAGGGAGACAGGAGAGCACACACTGTACACAGAGCAAGTTTACAGTGTCAGGGCTTGACTAGATTAGTTTGCCCACCTTTAATTTCTATTATCCAATGTTATAATATTGCAGACCCAGAGGAAAGTGGAATGTACTCTGTCCTGTGTGTTAGGAAGACTCACCCATTAATCACTGCCCAGCCAGCAGTCAGCACTTTCATTTTCAGTCAGGGAGTCCCCTGGGACCAATGAACTCAAGTGATATTTGAAAAGGTAAGAGAGAAAAGCAGAAGCACAGTCCGTGGCAGTTCCGTATTTGGAACTATTTGCATATACTCGAATGACCTTCTGAATCTCCCAGTCAGAGATGTGCTTTGGAGGGAATCAACTCACTACAACTAAATTTAAGCACCAATCCACTTAAAAGCAGCAACCGGACTTTTTCTGACACCACTGAATTTTAGAGCCTTCTTCATGGCATTTACCAGTGTCACTCATCTGTTTAACGGTCCAACACATATATCAATATACCTAGTGAATGCGCAGCTCAGACAAAGACCTTGCATCATTAAATGCAAAACACGTCTACAAAATATGACACCACCACAACAAACTGAAAAGCTGAGGAGTCAGGAAATGCAAAAGCTAGTGGCTTTGAAGTCATATGAACTCACACACATGCACACTGGATCTGCTTGGATTTACACAGAATAGTCTAACTGGGTAATGGAAACTATTACACAGACAATGTATATGAGCTAAGGTCTTCAGAATAACTCGGAGAGCACCTGATATGAACACTTGAATATATAACTTAATACAAAATTTAGATGTGGTAATTACACAGTACATTTTTGTTTTTTTCTTAACCTTTTTTTTAAGAAAATAGACCAAAGAGAGAGAAAAGGAAAGTAAGTGTCCATAAACTATGGTCCCTACAAGACTTTCTAGCTCACCCTTTACATTTCTGGAAAATTTGGGATGTGAGGAGTGGTGTTGGAAGGAATCAGTTCTAACTTTTGCTGTGGATTCTTTTGGCTAAATAAATTGTTTCTGCATCATAGGGTTCTGAGGAGACAGCAACTTATCCAAAAAGGCAAAAGAGAAAGGAGCAGCAGGAGGAAAAAACCAGAAACTGAATTTGCATGGTTTGGCCACTTGGGCTGTGGCTGCATCAGTGTAACATTTGCAATTTCCTCCTAGCAGTCTGCCTCGGTACAGCCCCTGGGCCTAAGCCTATTGGGAAAGGCACAGAAACTCGCCTCTGATGGACAAAGCATCATTAGTAGCTGATGAAAGCATTGCTGATGCCCACGGATCATACCTCCCCGTTTTATTTTTAATCTCTCCTGCCACTCCAACAGAAACTTAGCAAAGAGTGATCTCCTCCCTAAGCTCGCTATTGTTGCATGAGTTAGATAGGGGATTCCCAAGTCTTTTGAGTTGCTGGTGAGCAATCATTCTCTGTCATTGCTGAAGGAAGTGTTTTTCCCCGCTCTCCAATAACTCAGAAATGTTACAGGGATTTTCCTCAAAACTTTCCAAAAAAAATTCACCTCTGGCCAGAGCCCAGGGGCTGGATCCTGAACTGAGATTCAGCCCCTTGGTACCACTCTGGGCAGGCAAAGAGGCTTCATCACCATTTTAAAGTAGTAGCAGGAGCTTCTGTCAGCAAGTGGGACTAGCCACCTGGCCTAAGGCTGGCTCCATTGGCTCTATGACTCCTCCTCTTGGTCCTCACCAACACGTGGGGCACATTGAGATTGGTCAGTATAGGAACTCCTAAGGGTAGGTCTACACTGCAGCACTAAGCAAGCCTCCCAGCCGGATCTGACACTCAAGTTAGTGTGCTAAAAATAGCAGAGTGGATGTTGCTCTACCAGTGGAGGCTTGGGTGTTTAGTGCCCACCGGCACGCCCGAAGGAGCTGCTACCAGTCAGTCTAACTTAGAATAGCTTTCAGGCTAGTCTAGGTCACACTTGGACTTGAAGTGATCCTGGGAAGCCCTAATGAGTTGAGGAAGCACAAAGGTGGCTTGAAGCCACTTTTGCATCCCTTCCTGGACCTATCTCTGATCCTGTGCTGAGTGGAGCATGCTGGAACCTGAGAACTGGAACCCATGCATGAAAAACATCAGCCACAAAGCAAAAATGTTCAGTAAGGGTGTGTCTAGACTACAGGGTTTTGTCAACAAAAGTCCACTTTTGTCGACAAAACTATACCTACATCTACACTGCCGCTGAGTTCTGTCGACATAACGTCAACAGAACTCAGCAGTTTTGTCGACAGCTGTAAACCTCATTCTACGACGAATAATGCCTTTTGTCGACAGAGTTCTGTTGACAGAAGGCATTAATGCATCTACACTGTCCTTTGCGTCTACACTGTCATGTTGACAAAGCGGCTTTCAAAGTAGGAATAAGAGCCTCCGGAAAAGGGCGCTTTTTCCCGGAGGATCGGGGCCAGTGTAGACGCTCTTTTCCGGCTTTTCTAAAAGCCGGAAAAAAGCGGCGGACATTTTTATTTAAATGCCGCGGGGGATATTTAAATCCCCCGCGCATTTCCCTACTACGACTGGTGAAATTTACATGCCCCTTCCGGAAAAGGGGCCAGTGTAGACGAGCCCATAGTGTTCAAAGTGAGCATATATCATGATTAGAAACAAAAGCACCGTCCCTTTCCAAAGAACAGTCCCTGGCTTTCTAATGAGATAAAGCTCCTGTTTCTATTGATCAGCCCTTAAATCTGTCACTGGTGTAAGCTGAATGTTGTCTTTCCTGGGCCTACTGTAATTTTGGGGAGAAACATCATGTTGCCCATGAGTAATATGGCCTTCTCATACACACACACACTTATACACAACCACAGATTAGTTTAGTCTGGCATAGCATTACAGCATGAATGTGGATGGATGCAGTATGCACAAATGCATGTAGTTTGGCTATGACATGTTTTATATGTAGAGGTGTAGGAAAGGGTGAAATAAAAAAAGCCCTGAAAATGTGGAGGTTTGCTTTACAAAGGTCAATGTTTTTATTTCCATGTGACATTCCCTAAGTTTTGCTTTGAGTTTCAGGTTTGAATTTAGAATATTACAGCGAAACACAGTGGAAATGACAACGTTTTTCCCCATTTCACAACACGACCATGAAAAACTCAGAATTTTGCATTTCTATGCAAAGCCACAAGTTGGCACAGATTTTCTCCAAAATGTCATTAACTACATGGAAACTCCCAACAAGTCTGATATTTCAAATCTGTAAGGGGTCCATGCTCAGGAGAACCGTGTGCGCTTTCAGGTTTTCATGTTAACATTTCCCACAGCCGTGAGAACTTATCTCAAAAGCCTACTAAAGTCAATGAAAATCATTCTGTTAACGTCAGTAATCCTTGCAGAGGGCATAACTCTGTCCCAAGACCAGTAATTTAGGGGAACGGGGAAAGGGAGGATAAAGGGAGCAGTTGCCCTGGGGCCTGGTGATTCAAAGGGGCCCGGGCTCCCGGCCACCACTTCTGATACTGCCACAGCAGTGGCAACCAGGAAGCTGAAGCCTTTTAAATTGCTGCTGGAGCACTTCATAGCATGCTCTAAGCAGTGCTAACGGTTGGCCAGAGGGGAGGGGAGGGGTGCACCGAGCACTCCAGGTGGCACTGAAGGCTGGCTGCCCGCTGGCAACCTTGCTCCTTCCGGGACCATGGAGTCAGCTCAAGGGCCCATGAAAGTTGTCGGCACCCCTGAGGTGAATTGTTTATTGTGCAGTTTTGCAGTTACCAGTTTAATGTGTAACCTGTTTCCATGTCTGCCTCTCCTGCGAGCTTAAAAGCTCTTCTGTCACAGGAGCTCTGAATCAGCCCCTCCCCTTGCATTCCAGGGAAGACTGGACAGGACCGGTCTCCCTTCAGGGCCTGTCAGTACCGGTGCTTCAATGACTGGAAAGAGTACTGCTGAGCACAGAGAGAACACTCACCCACCCACCCATACATCCTGCCTGTGCTTGGGAGTACAGCCGGCTCTCAGCTTTGTGTGATGGCCCTGTGAAAAGCAGTACCGGCTTTGGCCCCTCTCTGCCCCAACCCCAGCCTTGGACCTGGCCCATTCCTATAAGTGTGTGTGTGTAGCTACATCCCCTTCTGTCAGACTCACTCTGGCAGTGGGGAATTCCCTTTTCTGCTGTGGGCTGCAGGCCCTGCACCGACGGGGCCTGGCTATGGAATTGAGAATGTTCTTCTAGACAGCAACTCATGGGTGTGGGGAGTGCAGGGCCACACACAGGCACATAGGACATAAACTTATAGTTGGAGATGCCCCGAAGAGTTAGAGCAGGATCAGAAATCCAGCTCTTGTGTGGTCATGTGGCATATAGCCCTGCTCTGGGTCACCAGAGCTCTCCCCAGCAGGCTGATATGTCTATCAAATTTTAGTGCCCACAAAAGGCACCACCCTGGAGGCTGCAGCCCTCTCTCTGTCCCCAGAACATGCAGCAGCAACACCTCACGCTTCTGCCGCAGTGCTCCTCCCCAGCCTAGTGTGGGCAAGAGGGAATCAAGACTCCAGGGATACAAATGGAACTGGACTCATCGGCTTACCTAGAATAGTGAAGTGTAGCACAAAGAGCCCCCACCAGAGCCACCTCTTTAACGCCAGTCCAGACGGCATCTGTTCAGCGCTAGCCATACACACCATTTTCTTAGAACTCCTCAGATAAAAAAGACGGAGGAAAGAAAAGGAGGGGAACAAGCAGGAATTGACGAGTTAATAACTGAAGCCTTGAATGGATGGAAAATCTTAATTCTTTGGATGAGTGATATGCCAGGTAGCACTTCTACAGCATTCATCCTCCAGTTGGATCCCATGACATTTTACAGACACTTGCAATTAAGCCTCAGTCTCAACACACTATTCACCCTTCTATGAGCGTCCTTCTGGACTGGATGCTCCCCTGCACTTGGGAAATTCTAATTGTGTTATCAAAGGTTAATTCTGGGGGCTATGGAGGTTATTCCGAAGAAAAGGTTAAGGGATTTTCCCAAGGTCTTGGCCACTCACCAGTGGCAGATATGGCAATCCAGCCCAGGAATTCCAATGCCTAAATCCTCTGGTCTATACACAAAATACATTGATCCCAATTTTCAGGGCACAAAGGGCCTGACTGTTATAAACTCAGGAGGTTGGAGCAGCCTGGCTTTAAGACTTTGTGCCTCTCCTAATCATTCTGAGTTGGCCAGGAGCCTAGAATAGCCTCAGGATTTCCCCTGACTGCACCCTGCTGCCTATGACCAGTGTTTGGGAGTGAATTCCATGCAGGAGAGCTGCTGGATTTCTAGCTCAAGAGAAAGCTGTCTACTGAAGGGGCAAGGCACCGGCAACAACAGCAGGGTCGGCTTCCCCCCTGGCAGCGCTAGTGTCCTTAAGCCTACTTCCTCCCCTTCTCCCTCAGCTTGTAACAGCCTCCTTTTAAAAATCACCTGCTCTTTGAGCAGTTCAGAGGTTTGCTTCCCAGCATGTCAGGTTTCTGACCAATTTTAGGATGACACATGTTTGACTGCCAGCACCCCACACCGCCCAAAATTTACCAGGAAAGGGCCAAGCAGCCAGGTAGTAGTGATCTGTTAGCAAAGGGCCAAATCACGCCCATAGAAGCTGTCAGAGTCACCCGCAGCAAGGCAGAACCCGAGAGCACTCACTTGTATTCTAGGGGCTCCTTCTCCCTCGTGCTGTGGAATCCGGTTAGTCCTCAGCTGGCCACGTCCCCTGTGTTGCAGTGCTCAAAGCAGCTCATTCTCAGTCAGCCATGCACAGTGAAAGAACAGACCGTGTGCGTGTGGAGCTTAACTTTATACAGAAAAAAAGAAAGGTTTCCACCCCCACAACTTCCCCTTTTGATTAAGAATCAAAACTTTGACCCAGCATACTCCATCCCGCCCATCCTGACGTCCCCACGTTACTTGGAAACGTCTGTTACGAAGGCTCAGGGACCAATGCAACAGGCTGTGTTGAGGGTTCCAATAGAACAGCAGTCTGGTACAGCCACATGCAGTAGCCTCTCCGCAGCCACACAGAACAGGAAGCATTATTTCATAATGATCTAAGATTGGACCAAAACATGGTTAATGTGCACACTTCCCTGGAATCAACAGCCTGCTTGGTCACCTCCAATTCCATCCCATCTTCCCTCTCCCACCCTCTGGCATCACCCAGCCCTCTCACCTTACTGTTCCCTTCCTTTTTATCTGCACCTCAGCTGTGCACCAGTCATTTTGCTTCTCACTACCTTTGGAACAATCTCTCACTACCTCTCCCAATCCCCTTCCATGAATGATATGTACATTCATAAATAATGAGTAGTCCTGTGGCACCTTAGAAACTGAGGCTGAGTCTAGACTACAAAGATAAATTGGAAAAAGATATGGATCTTTCTCCGATTTACTTCCAAACGAGGCTTCTCCAACATTTGGCTTGTCTACACGGGACCAAATGTCAGAAAAACTCCCTCTTTCGGAACAACCTTTCTTTCCCGTAAAACAAGGTTTACAGAGATGCCGAAAAAATGTGTCTGCTTATCCGACATTTTTTTCAGAAAAATGGATGCATTCCTTGGATGTGGCAGAGCTTTTCTGGGATATCTTTTCCGGTATTCTGGGAAAGCTCTATAGTCTAAACGTACCCTAACAAAAATATAATATATTATATATATTATAAATCTTATATATATTGTTGTTAGTCTCTAAGGTGCCACAGAACTACTCATTGTTTTTAAAGTTACAGACTAACACAGCTACCCTGCTGAAACTCTTGTACATTGATGTTTGTTGGACTAACATCAGTGAGGTGTCCCTGCCATCCTGTGAATGAAACATTGCCCTGCATTTTGCTTGGTTTAGACACACATCATGTGAGGGGCTAAGCACCTTCTGAGAGGACCAGAGCACACAATTCTAGAGCTGGGCAGTTTTTTGTATGAACCTTTTTTCCCACAAAAAACAAAATAAAATGATAAACTAAAACACATTAAGTGACACCAAACTGTTTAGCAAATGTCTGTTGCTTTTGCCAAATTATTTCAACTGGGAGAGAAAGGGGGGTCAGAAAAGAAAAGTTTTAAAATGAAATACTGTATTTTGATTTTTGGGGGTAAAAACTGAGTTTGCATTTTTAAAAATTGTAATGGTCAAAACTGAAACAAAACATTCTGATTTGGTCAAAATGGAACATTCAGCACTCAATAATATTTTTAATATGCTTTTTTTTTTTTTTTTACTTGAAACAGATTTTTTTCCCATTTTTCAAAATTGCCAGCAAAACACATAATTATTTTTTCATTCACCTCTAGACAAATGCCATTGGCTTTAGTGACAGCTCAGGGCACCAGGCAGAGATGCTCAGAGCACGGATCTTCCCTCCTTATTTGTTTTGTGGCTGGTATTTTTACATCCCTGTGAAAATAATGCATTATCCATTAATCCTTAATAACAATAGCTGTAACACAAACAAAATAAGTATGAACATCAAGTCTCATTCACCACTGTGTTGCTCCAATTTTAACTCTGAGCAACCTTTTGATTTCTATGGCCTTTATAGCAGCACAGAACTAGAGTAAGAGGGGGTGAACTGGACTCATTGTATTGTAAACAAATAAATTCTACTTTTATAGCTCATAGCTGGCTACATGCCAGCTCTATAAGGAAGTCAGATGTTTGACGGGGAACAATACACAACTATTCTGGATTCAGGTAGCTAAAGTTGTATGGAGGAGCTTGGCATCAAAACAAACAACCACAAACTAAAAATTAATTAGGACTATTTATCTGGTCATTGGTGACTTTCTATTGCATGTGTTTCATTGATTAGTTTCTTTTCCTTTTTTCTCCCATGTAAATTTGCACTCTACCTATGGATTATCATCATGATACATAAATACTGTTAGTAAGAACAAAGATCAGAAATACATTCATGGAACTTAAGAACATAAAAATGGCCGTACTGGGTCACACCAAAGGTCCATCTAGCCCAATAGCCTGTCTGCCGACAGTGGCCAGCACCAGATGCCCCAGAGAGGGTGGACTGAAGACAGTGATCAAGCGATTTGTCTCCTGCCATCCTTCTCCAGCCTCTGACAAACATAGGCCCGGGACACCATTTCTATCCCCTGGCTAATAGCTTTTCATGGACCTTGAATTTATCCAGCTTCTCTTTAAACTCTATTATAGTCCTAGCCTTCACAGCCTCCTCTGGCAAGGAGTTCCACAGGTTGACTACACGCTGTGTGAAGAAGAACTTTCTTTTATTAGTTTTAAACCTGCTACCCATTAATTTCATTTGGTGTCCTCTAGTTCTTCTATTATGGGAACTAATAAATAACTTTTCTTTATCAGCCCTCTCCACACCACTCATGATTTTATAGACCTCTATCATATCCCCCCTCAGTCTCCTCTTTTCTAAACTGAAAAGTCCCAGTCTCTTTAGCCTCTCCTCATATGGGACCCGTTCCAAACCCCTAATCATTTTAGTTGCCCTTTTCTGAACCCTTTCCAAGGCCAAAATATCTTTTTTGAGGTGAGGAGACCACATCTGTACACAGTATTCAAGATGTGGGCGTACCATAGTTTTATACAGGGGCAGTAAGATATTCTGGGTCTTATTTTCTATCCCTTTCCTAATAATTCCTAGCATCCTATTTGCCTTTTTGACCGCTGCTGCACACTGCGTGGAAGTTTTCAGAGAATTGTCCACGATAACTCCAAGATCCCTTTTCTGATTTGTTGTAGCCAAATTAGCCCCCATCATACTGTACGTATAGTTGGGGTTATTTTTCCCGATGTGCATTACTTTGCATTTATCCACATTAAATTTCATTTGCCATTTTGTTGCCCAATCACTCAGTTTGGTGAGATCTTCTTGGAGTCCCTTACAGTCTGCTTCTGTCTTGACTATCCTAAACAGTTTGGTATCATCTGCAAACTTTACCATCTCACTGCTTACCCCTTTCTCCAGATCATTTATGAATAAGTTGAAAAGGATTGGTCCCAGGACTGACCCTTGGGGGACACCACTAGTTACCCCTCTCCATTCTGAAAATTAACCATTTATTCTACCCTTTGTTTCCTGTCTTTTAACCAGTTCTCAATCCAAGAAAGGACCTTCCCTCTTATCCCATGGCCATGTAATTTACACAAGAGCCTTTGGTGAGGGACCTTGTCAAAGGCTTTCTGAAAATCCAAGTATACTATATCTACTGGATCCCCCTTGTCCGCATGTTTGTTAACCCCTTCAAAGAACTCTAATAGATTAGTAAAACAGGATTTCCCTTTACAGAAATCATGTTGACTTTTGTCCAACAAATTATGTTCTTCTACAAGCTTCACAATTTTATTCTTTACTATTGTTTCAACTAATTTGCCCAGTATTGATGTTAGACTTACCGGTCTGTAATTGCCAGGATCACCTCTAGAGCCCTTTTAAAATAAACTTCAGAGGAAGAACAGTAATACTAAAATAGCATTGCCAAAATGTGGCTATTTTGAGTACTAATTTACTCCCCTTC